GTGAAGGCTCATTGTAGGTGCCAGCTCTACTTCTCCATGTTCAGTGAGTTGTGTAGCTCTTATCTTTAGCAATAGGAACTTGTTGTCAGTTTGAGGAAAACAACGTATACTCTTGGTAATAGCCTGCCTTGTTTGGGGATTCACATGGGACCCTTTGGACAACAATTTCATTTGATGTAACCCATTTTTGATACTGGGAGCATCATTTGGTGAAAAGAGATGGCAAGTTGGGTCTCTTTCTTCCCCATTATTTGGCAATTTCTTTTAGATTACCTTCACATGCATACATATGTTAGGAACCTTCTACTGTATTAGTCTTCCATACTATCCCTCAAATGGCCCTTCATTTTAGCTGTCACTCACTGTATTTTATCCTTTGGCCACTTCTCCCTTCCTCCTCCCTACTTGACCTTCCCATTCCAGCTTCCCTGCACACCCATAATTAGCTATTGTATCTCCCTTTCCTAGTGAGATCTATCGATCACACCTAGTTCCTTACTTTATACTTATTGCTGTGGTTCTATGTATTGTAGTTTGGTTATCACCAACTGAATAGCTAATATTCACATATAAGCAAATATATATTATATTTGTCTTTCTGGGTCTGGGATACATCACTCAGGATGATTTTTTTCTAGTTCCATCCATTTACTTGCAGATTTCATTATTTCATATTTTCAATGGCTGAGTAATATGCCATTGTGTAAATGTACTGCATTTCTTTATCCATTCTTCTGTTGAGGGACATCTAGGTTGTTTTTTATTTCTGGCTATGATGAATAGAGCAGCAGTGAACATGGTTGAACAACTATCTCTATGACAGTATGAAGCATTCTTCGGGTGTGTCCCCAGGAGTAGTATAGCTAGATCTCGAAGTAGATCAATTCCCATCTTCTTGAGGAACCACCACACTGATTTCCATAGTGGCTGTACAAGTTAACATTCCCACCAGCAATGGAGGAGTGTTTCTCTTACTCCACATCCTCACCAGCATGAGCTGTCATTCATTTTTATTGATCTTGGCCATTCTTATGGGTGTAAGATGAAATCTCAAAGTAGCTTTGATTTGCAATTCCCTGATGACTAAAGATGTTGAGCATTTCTCTAAGTGTTTCTCAGCCATTTGCATTTTATCTTTTGAGGACTCTCTGCTTAGTTCTATACCCCATTTTTACCTGGGCTATTTGTTTTCTTGTTGTTCAGGGGTTTTTGTTGGTTGTTTTAGTTCTTTATATATTCTAGAGACTAACCCTGTATCAGATGCATAATTGATAAAGATCTTTTTCTGCTCTGTAGGCTGCCACTTTGACTGAATTATGGTGTCCTTTGCTGTACACAAAAATTTCAGCTTCCTGAGGTCCCATTATTAATTGTTGATCTTAATGCCTATATTATTGGTGTCCTGTTCATATAGTCTTTTTCTGTGCCAATGAGTTCAAGCTCATTTCCCCCTTACTTGTCTATCATATCCAAAGTTGTCTAGTCTTATATTGAGGTCCTTGGTCCATTAGGAGTTGGGTTTGTGTGGGGTGATAGATATCGGTCTATTTTCATTCTTCTGAACACAGCCTCTGGTTGGACCCGAACCATTTGTTGAAGATGCTGTCTTTTCTTCACTGTGTATTTTTGGCTTCTTTTTCCAAAAATCAGGTGTCCATAACTGTGTAAAATTCTGTCTGAGTTATCAACTTGATTCCATTGATCAATGTGTCTGTTTTTATGCTGATACAATGCTGTTTTTGTTACTGCAGTTCTCTAATACAACTTGAAATCAGAAATGGTGGTTTCTCTGACAATTCTCTCATTATTCAGATTTGTTTTAGCCACCCTTGCTTTTTGTTTTTCCATATGAACTTGAAGATTGTTTCTTAATTTCTGTGAAGAATTGTGTTGGAATAATGATCAGGATGGCACTGAATCTGTAGGTTACTTTTGGTAGAATGGCCGTTTTTTACAACATTAATCTACTGATCCATGAGCATGAGAGATCTTTCCATCTCTTCTTCAGTGTCTTAAAGTTTTTATTATGCAAATGTTTCACTTGCTTGGTTAAAGTCATCCTAGGAAATTGTGAAGATTTTCTCACCTGCATTGGCATGTCAGTTGTTGTCATTATGCCGACCTTGTTCAGCCAACCATATGGTTGATATTTCATGGTGTGGCTTCCCTGCATGTCTAGAAGACACCATCGCACAGCAGGTGTCCTGATCTTCCGGTTCTTGCAATCTCTCCACCCCCTCTCTCTTGATGTTTCCTGAGCTTTATCTAATGTATGATCATCCTTTGCATTTTTATGCATATATATGCATTTTTTGCCTGCATGTATGTTTTTGCACCACATATAGACAGTGCCCATGGAGGCCAGAAGAGATTTCAAACTGGTTGTAAGCCTTGATGTAGAAGGTGAGATTCAAATACAGGTTGTCTGGAAGAGCACTCAATGCTCTTTACAGCTGAACCTTCTCCCCAACCTCAAACATGATAATTCTTAAACTTGTTCTAAGCATGTGTGTGTGTTGATATATAATGGTATATGTAAAAGTCAATTTAAACTAAATGGAGTCCTAAGGGTAAGACCACAACTATAAAACTCCTAGAGGAGATCACAGGGGAAAATCTCGTGAACCTGACTTTGGCAGTGTGTTTTGGGCTAGTGTATGATAGCTCAGAATTAAAAGGTAAGTAAATGAATATTTTTAAATGGCTCTACATCAAGAAAAAATCTTCTGAAATGAAAAAGAAATGATCAACAAATGCAAACAGCAGTCTACAGACTGGGAAAATTTACTTGAAAACCATGTGACTGAGGAGAAGCTAATGTCCCAAGTTTATGACTAACTCTTACATTAGAAGAAAAACTGAAAACCCATCTTAATAATCGACACAGGTCATTACTCCATAGAAGACTTTAAACATTTTCCAACAAACATGTGAAATCTGTTCGCTGCTAGTAATCACCTGGAAATACATATTGAAACCACTCTTTGATGTCACCTATACTCTCTAGGATAATGTTTATGAAGAGATAAGAGGTGTTAGTGATGGTACGGGAAAAGTGGAAACAACCCTCTTGTAACTGGATGTGTAGATTGATACAGACATTAGGGATAATAATAGGGCGATTTCTTAAGAAATTTAAAATGAGGCTGGAGAGATGGCTCAATGGTTAGGAGCACTTGCTACTCTTCCAGAGGACCTGGGTTTGATTCCCAGCACCCACATGGTGACTCCCAAGCATCCGTGACCCCAGTTCAAGGGTGCCTGATGCCCTCGTTTGTGCTCTATGGGCACGAGGCACATATGTGGTGCACAGACGTACTAGTAGACAAGACACTCATATGCATTTAAAAAGAATTAGCTTAATTTAAAATATGTATACACACAGAGAAAGATATAGATAGATAGATAGATAGATAGATAGATAGATAGATAGATAGATAGATAGATAGATAGATAGACAGAGACAGAGAGAGAAATTATAAATATAACTACCAGAGGATCTAGAGCTCTTTCTTCTGAGTTGATGAAAGCAAATGAAATTACCAACTTTTCAAGATGTCTGCAATCTGCAATCATGCTTTCAGTACTTTAGTTCATCATAGTCAAGTTATGAAACTACCCTAATATCCAACAATGCTCTGTCTAATGGATAAAGAAACTATGGAGTTTTTAAGAAAATATGATTGAGTCCATGAAAATACCTTGCTGTATGCTACTGTATGATAAGCTAAAACATTAAAGAAGTGAAATAAAACAAAGAAAAATATCACATTAGCTTGCTTATTCCTGGATTTTTTAAAATTAATGCTGTGTGGCTGTTTCCTCTGGATTATAAGGTTCCTTGCTGGAGGGAGAGGGAAGCTCACCAGACTAATGAAACTTACAAGAAACTCTCAGGCCTCAGGGGCTCATGAAAGTTACATGACTGTCAAGTCCCCTCTTCAAGACTGTGGAAACAGCAGTAGTACATCTGCCTACCTGTGGCACAGGGGCCTCCAGGAGCACAGCTTTCGTGATTGACACCCATGCCTGAGTGAGGCTCTCCAAAGATGCAGCCCCCTTAGTCATCTACACTTCTGCAACAAACTCCAACTGAATCACAGGTTCACTAAGTTGGACTTGGATGGAATTGCTTCTTTGGTTCATCATTGCTCTCTTCATGGGTGTGAAGAGACATGGAGTGATGTGGATTAATGAATACAAAATTTTAGATATCTAAAAAAAATTTAGATATCTAAGTTGATGAACAATTACATCTAGATGTTTAGATATCTAATTACAAAATAGTGATATAGTTAATAAAATTTTACTATATGACTATTTGTGTTCAGTAAGTAATTGTTAATACTTAGATCCTATGTTCTCTAATCCAAAAAGAGATTAGAAGATTTGTGTAAGATGACAAATAAATTAATTTGCTTCAGATACTGGTAACCTTACTTCCTCTATGGAATCAATAACTTCCTTTTATGAATCTCAAACATATGCAATTATTTTTATTTTAAAAACTAACAAACTAAATATAAAATAAAACCATAAAAAGAAAAGTCAAAGGGTAAGTTGATATTCTGCTGTGTGCTTTTTCTTATTCACCCCTAACTACTCTATCACAGTAGAGAGACTTGGGACTCTCTGACTCTGGAGTGGCTTAGGGATCCTTGCTCTCTGATGACCAATTAGCTACTGTCCTGGATGAGAAGATCCTGATGGGTTTAGGTTTCCATGGAGATGCAATTTCCTTCTCAAAAGACAAGATTTGTGAAAAGTCATGGATGGCTGTTTGCCTAGATACACTAGTGGCTTCTTCAGATTTCTTGAACATGAAATGTATTTCCACTAATATAATTGAATTGCTATGTTCTCTATAAGCTAAATAGCAAAACATAATAACCACAAAAGAATTTTATTGAATTTTATTCTGTGTCCAAATAAACACTTTTTTCTATTAAGTTTTACATATATTTGAATTATTAGAACTTGATAAACAAAACAGGCAAAAATTCATTTTTGTTACATTTATTGGCCAGTGCCCTGAGCTAATAAATATAAAATGTGGAATCTTAGGTAGCAGCTAGCTGGATAAGATTTACAACAAAATAGGGCACATTCAAATAATGAATTTCTATTTAGTATCTGGGAAAACTGAAAATAACAACACAAAGTAATTATCTGGCATTTGGTCTCTTGATAAGTATAACTAATATGAGGGAGGAATTTGCCTGTATTCCACACTGAGATAATTAAATGTAATAAAACAGAAAGTTCTATAAGCACAGGGCTTGAGTTACATTAAGAGTTCGAGAAATGAGAACAGTTATAGATTGGTTGACTCTGTAAAGCACACTATTTGACCTTTTACCTAAGAATAGGTAATTAAGAAGAATCTAGAACATTGGAAAGAATCAGTCAGACAAAGCAGTGATGTCTACTAATTAAGCTCATGTTTGGTTTTCTCTCCAGTTTCTCTAGTTTCTTCTCATTCATGAACATTATCATCTTCCCCATGTCAAGCATCATTCCTGAGTTGCACTGTACAGCTGGGGAAATAGCAATGCCTGCCCTCCTTTTTTGAATGCCTCCTTAATACTTCTTTGCATGTGACCCCAAGTAGAAAAGCAACATTCACATCGGGCCTCTACATGCTTCGTGATAAACCATTAATCATTATTTCTTATATTCTTCAAATATCACAGAAAGGTATCAACCTAAGTAGACCATAAAAAGAGATCCTGTAAAGTGAAGGGACCTAGACAGGATAGAGGGAATTAGAAGCATAGGCATTGATGCAAATCTTTGTCATAGGGCATTCTGCTCGGCACCATGCTAGAAATCTGAAGGAACTGCCATCTGAACAATGCTTCCCTGTCTCCCAGGCTTACCTAGAAACTGTCTCCACTTTGTACAAGAGGAGATAATATCCACTTCCTAAACACCATGTTACAAATCAACTCTTACTCCCTGTATCATATGGATTATATACACTGGACTACAAAGCATTTCAAAAGACCCTCCTCACTTCTATCTTCAGAACAAAGAAGCATCAAACCCATAGGGTCTGTGGAAGCTTATTTTTTTTACTGATAAATTGCTTTGCAAGGACAGATGAGTCTGTAACCCAAGAACTATTAAACCAAATCGTACTGGTTGTCTTTTGGTCTTCTATCCTGAGTCTGTGCCTCTCCCTAGCACCCTCCACAGAGCCCTCTTCACATCCTTGTTCCTCAGGGTATAAATCAAAGGATTGAGCATGGGGGTGATGATAATATAAAAAAGGGCAACAAACTTCCCCTTGCTCTCAGAATAACTGCCCTTGGGTTGTAAGTATGTGTAGATGGCTGCACCATAAAACATAGAAACCACCACAAGGTGGGACCCACAAGTGCCCAGGGCCTTTTTGCACCCTGCCATTGACTTGGTCTTCAGCACCGCCTGAGCAATGTTTGCATAGGAGCCCAGAATTAGTGTTACAGGAAATATCAAGAATACAACTCGGGTCACAAACATTTTGGCCTCTGTTTCTTCTGTGTTCTCACAGGCCAACTTCAAAAGAATAGGCATCTCACAGAAGAAGTGGTTCAGTTGGTGTCCACAAATAGGCATCACCATCATCAGGCTTGTCTGAATCAGAGAGTTCATGAATCCTCCTACCCATGAAGCAATAGCTAGTGAGAGGCAGAGAAGAGGGTGCATGATGGTCGTGTAGTGCAGGGGACGACACACAGCAGCATAGCGATCAAAGGCCATGACCACCAGGAGCACACTCTCTGTGGAGGCCAGAGCAAGGAAAAGGAAGAGCTGGGCCACACATCCTCCATAGCTGATGGTCCTGTCATATCCCTGGAGGTTGATCAGAAGCTGGGGCACAATGCTCGTGGTGTAACAGAGGTCCAGGAAGGAGAGGTGGCAGAGGAAGAAGTACATTGGTGTTTGAAGTCGAGCATCCAGTTGTGAAAGAATAATGATGGCAGAGTTGCCAAAGAGAGTTAGGGAGTAGAAAATGGAAATGAGAACAGAAAAAATGAGTTCCAGTTGAGGATAATCAGAGAAGCCCATTAAGATGAAGCCCTGTCTAAAACTGGTGTTGAAACTGCCCATAGCTTTCATGTACCCAAATAACAGGAGACAATTCAGTGTCTGCTGTGAAGCTCACGGATTAGAACATTATTCCAGACAATCCTGAAATACTCCAAAAATCAAGCTCTTTAGACTGGAAATCATGGGATCAGGAGTATTATCTTTTGTTTGACCTATAACTCTGCTCCCTATGTGTCCTGAACTTTATCTAGCCCCCTTAAGCCCATGGATACCTCACTGTCTGATAGCAGAGACAGCATCTTTCCCACCTTCCCACCCTGATGTTAAGATCTAACCCAGTAACAGGTAATAGCAGAGTTTCTTTGAAAAATATAGAGTCAAATGTAGCATTATTATTCCCCATCAGTCGCTTTGGCTCCTGGTTGGTCCAGTTGGCAGAGTGTTTCATGTAGGTGAAGACCTAGGACTAACCATGATGAGACCACAATTTTGTCCCCACTGCCCCATTTCCTCAGTGGCTGTGATTGACACCACAAACCCAGAAGTCCTGCTTGTGACTAGCTGTCAATTTGTTCTCTTGTTAAGTCTGCTGAACTGGAAGGTTAATGAGTTGGTGCTGGACCAATGATGCCAGGAATCCAATCGGACAACATCTTTGATGCTGTTGAGGAAAACATGGAGAAGTTGAATGATTCAATAAAGTATTAATTTACATACAGATAAATCAATCCATCAAAGTTCTTTCTAACAAACACATTTATTAGATCTTTGTGATGATATCAAAGATTTCATTGTTATAGGTTTTTTAATATACATTCTTAGAGGTGTGTAATGTCAAAGTCGGCCTTTGCAAGTTCATTGTCTTAGAATGGTATGATTTGTTTTGAGTCCTTACCAGATCCCTGCAGATCAACTCTACCACTGTCTAACTGAACTACCTGCTCAGACATGTTGACTTCACTCACTTCTGTGAGTCTCAGTTTAGCTATCATGGAACAGATGCAACAAGATTTTAAAAAAAGATTGAATGATATCATATATTCTGCAAGATATTAAGAATATGCTACATGAAGTTTTGTAATATTTTTATTATATATTTTTAAATTACTTAATTTTTGTTGACATGTGTAACTTGTACATATAACTGAGGCTTATGAGATAATTCTACATAATCACAGAGTGAACTCACAGAACCCAGCCTCCCATTACCCACATTACACACCCAACGCCCCAAACACCAATGACCAACACTCTACATTTAGTTTGGTATTTTTACCTTTGACATGAAAAATACCATGAAGCTCTTGTCTTTCTGGGTTCTGTAGTCTTTGTCTATCTACATCACTACTCTTGACCATGCAACAGGGTGTGATTTGTTAACTGTTGTAGTGCCATTTCCAAACCAGTGTATAAAGAATGAACAGAACTCAACAAATATTGTTAAATGAATTAATGAATGTATTCTCCTTCATTAGACAATATACATGCCATAGAAATGTTTGTTACCAGTGTAACATGAAAGGAATAAACAGGTATTGTCTCTAACATGGTGGATTAAGGTTTTACTGTTTTGACCATTCTTGTCCATATTTGATCAACAATGCTGTTCATAATTATAGCTATGCTTGGTATTAATATGTTTATAAATAAATAAAAACTTAGAAACCTAATACAGCAATTATTTGATTTAAGGTAATATTGAACAGTAAAAAATGAACTTAGCTTTAGATCTTAAAGTATAAGAGTCAACTTAAAATTCTGAAGTACATGTATTAGAAAACTAGATGGCCTGGGAATGTATCCAGCAAAGACTCAACACAGGCCAACAGTGCCCACTGACTGCTGAATCTTAGAAAGTGCAAGCTCAGACTAGACAAAAATCTAATCAGCACCTCCTTTCACATTGGAGGGAGACCTGGAAGTCATTTCTCCAGCTGTGTGTCATCTGTTCTCTCTCTCGCAGAGAATCTAAAACCAGTGCTTAAGTGACGACAACCTCTCTCCACTCGTCATCACCCATAGCCTTTTGTTCCTGTGTGGCCATGAGGTCCCTACTTCTGCTGATAAACCTAGTATTACCTGCCTATTATTTCAATAATTTTCTTAATAAACATCTTTAAGCCTATCAAAGTATGATCCACTCAAATCTGGAAGAATGGATTTTTTTATAGGTGCCATCACTAAACTCAGGCTAATAAAGTCTACAAAAAAATAATAATTCAAGTGTCAAAAGCAATACTATTAAAAATTCATATCCCTGCCTGTGTATGTCTTACCTCTCCTTCTCATCTTGTTAGTTGTCTACAGAAATTATCTATTATGAAGACTGTACAATTTTTAAAATACCATTTCTACCTCCAGTTTCTGTTCTCACTCTCTTCTGGATCTCATCCTTGAGCATTTGACATGTTGAGTAACTGGTCCTTTCTATTCAGTATTTTTTTCCTTCCTTCATGGATGTCTCCTTCCCTGCATCCTCCATCATGGTGTCCTCTAACTGCACATTGCTGACTCTCTTCTAATATCATGCTATAAAGCATTCCTGGAAAATTCATGCATTTCAGGGTGTGAGTCACACTCACTGTGTTGATAACACCCAAATATGTCTCCATCCCTATCTATTCTCTGCATTTCAGACTCCCACTGTTCATCTAATTCAATCTTTTTATGTATTTCTGATGTTTTGATAGTTTGATGCCTGGTTGACCATAAAAGGACTTCCCCTTTTAGGTATAGAAATTCTCACAGATAGCAAAGCACTTTCTTGTAAGAAACATCTCATGAAAACAATCAGTCTAGAGTCCACATTTCTTCCCTGCTCCTTTGCTGGTGTCTAACACAGCAGCGTCTACCCTCTCTAACACAAGACCAGAAAATTAGTCATATCATAAAGCATGCTGAAGTTATGTTTTAAAAACACAGTATGTAAGCTTTGCATGCTTCCTCATACCCTGTGTGTTTTGTCTGCATTTTCTCTCAACTTCCCTTCTTTCTAACAAACTCTGGCAATTCACTCTGTGGACCCAGGTAACACCATGCCACTTCTTCTTGAGAACTGTTGAGTAATGAGTTCCTAATCAAATTCCAGTTATCTTCTTAGCAGGGTCCTTGATTTATCTTTAACAATAACAACATCTTTGTGTTAGTTGACATCTCCTTGCCTCTCATTTTCACTTGGAAGTTTTCTGGACTTCAGCACATTCAACACGAAACTTGTCCTTGCCCCTTATAAAAATGCTTCCATTTGTGTTCCTTATCTCAGGGAAGCACATCTCAGCTATGCTGGTCACCTGGCCAGAAAACCAGTCACCAGCCTCTATAATGGCACTTTCTTTGAGCACACTGCACATGTCACTATGTCTACAATAGCATTTCTCAATCAGAGATGAAGTCATCTATTCAGGAAGATTCTCCAATGTCTTTAGACATTTCTGTGGTTTGTTGAGGCCAGGAGTGCTGCTGTGTCTTTTCAGTGCACATAGCCTCTCATCAACACTACATACACATGAATTATCCAGTCCCAAATGTCAGTTGTGTGAGGGTAACATTCTCACTTCTTGGGAGAATTCTTTTCTACTTTTGTGGGAACTGAAAACTCCTTGGTGTATGGCCATATGGGCACTTCATCTTCTCACATATCACTTACCATCCTTGACATTAATTTATGACCTTTAGTTTCATCATGCCAGGGCTTCTGAGGAACAGAGCCATGTCTGTCTTGTTCTAGGAACAAAGATGTAAAAATGTCCTTCATAAGAAGCAGGTGTTTTAAATTATGTTTTTAGATTCTAAAGCCAAGAGCAAGTGCATACACTTCATGGCTTCTATCTACAGTTAAAGTCTTGTGCTATGAGAAAGATGGTAACTCCCCTCTGTTCTTCTCCAAAGCCAAAACTGAGACTTTCAAGGGTAAATCATAATATAAGAAAACTTGGAAGAAAGGAAAACAGACTAAATATAGACTGCCTGGAAAGGAACCTGGCTTCAACTCACTTGAAAGCTTCCTGCTCATCCAGAGCCTGAAACTTAAACTTCCATTATATTGTAAAATGTTCTAACATTCTCTCAGCAAATTAGGGTAGCATTATACCCAGTTGTGACACTCCAGATTTTCTCATTTTGAACTATCTTGTTAAAACCTTACATGCTTCTAATCCCCTTGACTAAATTAGTTCTATATTTATATATTTGACACAGTTGATTTTTGTAACAGAAAAACTATTGACTGTGTTCATGTCTGTTTATATATGTGTGTAGGAGTATTTATGATCTCTGCAAATAATAAAATTCTTATGAGCAAAAGTCATATTTAAATTTTTTTTCCATTTCTTCATGCCACTATAATACATAACAGATTTTAACTAAATGGAGCCACATCTGAGCCAGAAATGCCTATCATCTGACTGAGCATAGGAGGTTCAACCTTATCCCCAACTTTTTCCATTTGAAGAGTCATCCTTAAATAAGTCAGTGTGTGGTAGTATGTGTTCTCACCTTTTATATCCTTTCAGAAGTGTTTACTCATGACGTGTTCTTTGAAAATACATTTTAAATTGAAATATAGTTGCATTATTTTTGCCCATTCTTTTCCACATTCTCAAATCTACAGTTTCTTCTCTGATTATTATTGTGATACACACACACACACACACACACACACACACACACACATATATATATATATATATATATATATATATATATATATATATAATTTCTCTATCTCTTTATATCTGAATGTGTAATTTTTTATTAGCTTCTAGAAGACCCTTCTCCCCTCGGAACTTCATTAGGCAACAATGAATCCTTCTTCCTATTCTCCACCACAGCCTCCTCCTCCACAGATTTAATTGTTGCTTACTCAGTCCATCCTTTGCATGCTAAAATCGCCCAGTATCTCATTCTATCCCATATCTTTCTTCCGTGAGTTTCAGGATTCCATCACCTTCTTGGCAGAAACAACCAATATTTTCTAGAAAGTAGTTAGCTCATTTGACACCCAAACTATAAATGAACAAGTCCACACTCTGCTTTCACACCGACTCCTCATGCAGAACATTGCCTTCTCTCATGTCTCCATCCTTGTCTACTCCAAGAAGTCTTCCTTGATGTATCAACAGCTCTGACTTTACCCCTAGTCTTTGTCTCCTAGTGATGATGTATGTATCTTATTTTGCATGTTATTGCTTTGGCATCACAGAAGCTAAATTTTGCAATACACTATTAAGCCAATCTTTACACTTAATGAGAAAACCAAATGTTCCATAGACGTTCAGTGAGTTTCCTAACTTTATGTAACTGGAAAGTTAGTACAAAGTGTTGTGCAACCTGCTGTGTTTACTTGAGTGGGAGGACACAGAAAGACCCAGTTAGTGCTAGACTATCTTCTTGCCTGAGTTCCACGTTTCCACCCTCAGTCCAGGGATACAACAGAACCTTGCATAACCGCCTAATGCAATGCCTATTATTTTCTGGTTTTGTCTGTGGGTGCTTAAGTGCCACAGATCATTACTCACCCACAACTCCACAGGAGAAAACTACTGTGCTTACCTCTCTTGAGTCTATTGGCATCAAAGTTGAGGTGAGACCCACATGGCACTGTTACCTAGGAGCCAGGGAAAGCCACTCGCTACTTCAGACCTGATTTCACCTGTAAGGTGGAGAGCTTGAGTGAGGGCGACCTTCCTGGAGAGCTGTGGTAAGAAGTTGTTTCTTCCTTCAGCTGAGGAACTTCACAACTTGGGGTGAGGCATCATCATCTCCACTATACTTCCTTACTCAGCCTAAGTTATACATGAAAGTTTTATACCACCACATTAGTTATTGTCCCTAAAACTGAGCCCTTCGATTCTGTCCTGGGGGCATTGCCCCCTTTAAAAATTCACAAAAGGGATAGTTGTTAATGAATTATTTCCCTAGAGACCTGTAGGCCCTGAAGAGGAAATTAAAAGCAGTCAATGGGCTCCCTAAGACCTGAATTAAGGCCTCAGTTTTCCCTATTCCCCATGTACTGCTCAAATATAACTAATTATAATTACTCTGAATCTTCAATACACAAACTCCAAAGACCAGGACATGCTAGCCCTGATTTTTGCCTCACTGAGGTCAGTGGGAGCTGAATAGCTGCTGCCTCTCCCTTAGAAAGCATCCTATGTCTTCACTGAACCACCCCTTTTTCAATACACAAACCTCCATCCTGTAGGCATTCTGATTTTTATCCTGAGATTTTTAAATATCTTGCTACATCTCTTTGTTTCTTTCTTTTTTCTTTGTGTGTGTGTGTGTGTGTGTGTGTGTGTGTGTGTGTGTGTGTGTGTGTGTGTGTGTGTGTGTGTGTTGGTATGGAGGTCAAAGGACCTCTCCTACCCTGTGGGTCACATAAAGTTTGGATGCAAACACATTTATCCTTTGCTCCCGACCCTGAGTTCTTAAGAAGGGGACAGAAGAGAAGGACTGGAGAATCTAGGGCAAAATATCAGACTTGGAAGCAAATGATGAAGTCCTTGTCCAACTCACAGGACTTCTCTGAATCTGTATCCAAACGTTCCCATGCAGCCTGCTCTAATGTCTCAGGGAAGGGAACCACCCCCTTACATAATTTTCAGCTCTTCCGTTATGAACTGTCCTTTGAAAGTCAATATTCTCCTTCGGTATCTCAAGGAAATTCATCTTCCACATACATAGCAGCTTCTCAAATATTGAGGTCATGATGTTTTTAAAAACTCAACTTCATATAGTATAATTTATGTATAAAATAACATAAACATTTTGGGGTATGGGTCCTGTGAGCTTAACTTTCTTTTGGATTTTTGAGACAGGGTTTCTCTGTGTAGCTTTGGAGCCTGTCCTAAAACTCACTCTGTAGCCCAGGCTTGCCTTGAACTCACAGAGATCTGCCTCCTAAGTGCTGGCATTAAAGGTGTGTGCCACCACCGCCCACTTAACTTTTTAAAAAATAACTGACTTATTTGTATTTTATGTGCATTGGTGTTCTGCCTGCATATATGACTGTGTGAGGGTGTCAGATCCCCTGGAACAGGACTTACAGACAGCTGTGAGCTGACATGTGGGTGCTGGAAATTGAACCCAGGTCTTCTGGAAGAGCAGCCAGTATTCTTAATAGCTGAGCTATTTCTCCAACCCCAAGTTTAAGTTTTAATTGTAGTTTAAAAATTAAATTTTACAGGAAGAAGTAGTGGCTGATTTTTAATATGATGCACTTTTTATACTCTGCCCTTTTCTTGTTTGCATGTTATATTTAATTTGGCCACTTTTAGTATGTTTTTATCTTTTGTTGCCTACTTTATTCTCATACACACTCTTATATAACAATATATATCATAATGATTTTGCTTTTGTTTGTGAATTTCTCATGTATGTTTTAGGATTGTTCTGTGTGTTTCTCCATAAAGTCAATAGGTACTCGTTACTATTCTCATGCATAATTCATATACATTCCCTCTCATCCCAACCTCTCCCTTTTTCAATCTTTCTTTATGTCCTCCTCCTTATAATCTACTACTATAACTTTCCATAGCTTTATCAACCTCTAAAGTCGAAGGATATTAGCAGTATCCTGCTGTGGAATGTCTTTCTGTATGTTGTGATCATAGGTTGCTCTCATTGGTTGATAAGTAAAGCTGTTTGGCCAATGGCGAAGCAGAATAAGGTTAGGAGGTACATCCAAAGTGAGGATGGAGATGAAGAAGCATAGAATGAGCTGGAAGCTGTGAGTTCCCTCCAGGAGAAGCAACATATGAGAAAATAGGTAAAGCCATGAAGCCACATGACAAAACATAGATTAATAGAAATGGGTTGAATTAAGTTATAAGAGCTAGTTAATAGTGAGCTTGTGCCATAGGCCATACAGTTTGTAATTCATATAAACCTCTGTGTGTTTGTTTACCTGTTAAGTGACTGCAGGACTGGATGGGATACAGAAAACCTTCTAGATACAGTATCCTAAGTTTCCCCTCCCAGAAACTTTCCTGCCTTGATATTTTTCTAAGGAGTCTGCTGTTGATGTTGATTGATAAATAATGTGTTGTTTGGCCAGTAGCCAGGCAGGAAGTATAGGTGGGATAAGGAAAGAAGAGAATTCTGGGAAGTGGAGGGCTGAGTCAGAGAGAAGCTGCCAACTACCACAATGAGAAGCAGTTATTAAGATACCAGTAAGCCACGGGCCACGTGGCAACTTATAGATTAATAGAAATGGGTAATTTAAAGTATAAGAACAGTTATCAAGATGGCTGCCACATCCATACCGTTTGTTAATAATATAAGCTTCTGTATATTTATTTTATAAGTGGCCTTGAGGACTGCCAGGGCTTGGCAGGACCCGGAGAGAAAATCTCTAGCTACAGGAGTCTAATGCTGGTTTGTATCCTGCCTACCCGACTTCCCTTCTACTCCTCATGTCAGTAACTAAAACGTTACTATACCCCATATTACCCTCATTAGTTTAGCCTCTGTAGTTATTGAGGTTAACTGAACCATGGTTGTTAGCTGGCTGGTACGGATTTGCCTACTGAGCATAGCCAGCTGCAGGGTGTGTTATAAGAGATAAGTTATAAGACAGACAAAACTAACATTATGATGCCAAAGGGAGATTGCTGTCACACAAACATTTTCCTGAAACACTAGATAAAACCTTAATTTGGTTCCTAGTTCTGTTCACAACATGTTTTGAAGACAAAACTTGTGTCATTTAGGCTAAGACTCAGTAAGAAACAAAGTCCCCGTGATGAAAAGGCATTGTGGTAACAGTGCTGGGATGAAGTATGCACAATTGTTCAACAGATATGATGGGTTGACAAAGGTGGACCTCCAAGGCCAACTCTAAAACCTGCTCCAGCATCTTTATACATACATTTATTTAAAAAAAAAAGTTCATTAGGCAGGGACAGAATCCTATGTACCCACAGACAGACTGACAACATAAGCAAGATATGTAAAACCACATTCATTCTTTCTAGAGCTGATACATTTACATACATTTGTGTGCAACCCAGCCCTAAACAGGATGTCTCCAGCAAAGCCTTCAGGGAACTCTGAAGAAGAGGAGGCAGAAAGAGTGTAAGAGGCAGAGGCAATGGAGGACATCAAG